ATAATAGGAGAAATTACAAGAAAAAATGGGAATAAGTCTGATGAATATAGGAAGTTCCTTTTTCACTTCCTAGGAATTACAGAGAGGGAACAAAGAAAATACGAGGAGTAAGTTATCCTGGAAACAATACCAAAAATTGTCCGAAAGCTGAAGAACATAGCCCTCCAGATTGAAGGCTCCACCCTCACCCTCAGTGGCCAGCACAATAAGTGCAAAAAGATCCATATCAAGGGTTACCTTCATGAAATCTCACACTGGGAACAAAGAGAGTGCCGTATAATCATTTCACAAAATATACATGTATCAGATCATCATGTTGTATACCTTAAACTTACATATGTTATACATCAATTATATCTCAGTAAAACTGGAAATTAAAGAGAGAGAGAGAGAGCCATAAAAGCTACCAGAGAGTAAAAACCAGTCAATGACCAAAGAATAAGAAACTAAATCTCATCTTTCTTACCAAAAGCAACAATGAGTGATAGAATTCAGTAAAGCCTTTAGAATTCTGAAGAAAAACTATTTACAACCTGAAATTTTACAGCCAGGTGAAGTATCAACTGAATATAAGGATGGGGAAAAAAAGCCATTTTCAGACATGCAAGAATGCAGAAAATATCTCTTTCATATATGGCCTTTCTAAGAAATTACTCAAACATTTCCTCCAATGAAAGGGAAAAAATCAAGAACACTACACAGGATTTAGGAAGAAATTTCCACTGGGGACAAGGAGCAGTCTTCTAAGAAGCTAGAATTGTATAGACTTTGGAGGAACCATGGCTTTAAGCTGGAAAGCAATACATTGAGATCCAAGTTTTAGAAAGAACATTCTGTCTTTAAGTCTGAAAGTGGGATTAGTAGAAGGTTTCTAAGACCAGGCAGAAAGTTTTTGCACACCTCAGGTGAAATGTAATTCAGACCTAAACTAAGGTGGTTGTAATGAGAACTAGGAGACTGTAAATGGCTAGACTATAAACAACTGAGCTATCCTCTGATGAGGGGTATAGCTCAATTGCATCTTAGTATAGACATTCATGGCATAAATGTAGGGCAAGAGCAAAAGAGACTCCATGAGAACACAAGCCCCACAAGATGGTAGACAGAAAATAGGAAATAAACACCAGTAGGCTTGGAGGGAAGAATCAGGAATTCTTTGAGTGGAGAGTCAGTGTTACAACCGTGTTCAAGTATAAAGGAACTACCTTCCTTTCTGATAGCAGCCAGATTATATCTGATTAAAACTGTAGCTCTCTGCAAGAGGGGTTAAATCCCTAATAACGAGAAAAAGCAGTCAGTCCTCTTGCTTGACTCTATAAAGTACCAAAGTAGCATGAGTGGAGCGACCTACATCAGGAAAGAGCAGCAGCTCAGGAGCACTTTAGGTAACAGTAGGCCTAATGGATAGTTAGAGCTTCATCAAGTGGCTCTTGACAGCAGGGAGTCAGATGGTTCCAATAGATTCTAATTTGGGCTGTAAGTGGCCTTAGGTGCCTGAGATGAGTGCATAGGCCAGATCTGTAGGACATTAAAGAGCATGGCAGGAAGAGTAAGTGTTATTCATGGTACATTGGAAAGTCACTGAAAGGTTATTCAACCCATATGTTATGACTCAACCCATATGTGATGACTACTTTGGCTGCTATGTGAAGGATGGACTGGAAGGGAGGAAGGGTAGACAAGAAAGCTATTGTACCAACAGATGGCATTAGCTTAGACTAGAGAGTTTAAACTGGAGATGGAAATACATGGATTCAAAAGTTTTTTGGATGTTTGTTTTGTTTTGTTCTGCTAAATTTAATGGAAAAGAGTATGTTGGGTGGGGATGGGGAATCAAAAGCTAAGTGTAGGATGGACCTGTTAAATTGAAGTTGCCTATGAGGCATCCAGGATGAGATATCAAATAAGCAGTTGGATATGTAAGTCAAGATCTGGCCTGGAGCTATATTTTCTATATCTATATCTATATCTATCTATATATATTTATCTATATCTATATCTATATATCTATATCTATATATCTATATCTATATCTATATATCTATATCTATATAGATAGATATATCTATCTATATTTATATAGATAGATATATCTATCTATATCTATATCTATCTATATCTATCTATATATATTTTCTATATCTATATCTTCTGACTCAAGATAAACTCCAAATTGGGCAAGAAGGGAATTGACATTTATTGAACACCTACTATATGCCATGTACCCATTATGTTACAGATGTTTCTATCATAAGTTTTACACATTTTCCAACACCTGCTTTTCTCCATGCATGTCCAAGCACCCTCCCAATTCAGCCCCTCTAAGACCCAATTGGTGGCCATCTGAGATATGCTTGGGTTGCAGACACTCAGACACAGCATGGAATCAGTTTCTCCCCAACAGATTCCTAATGAGTCCCTGGAGGGTTACTGTGCCTGGATGTATATTCAAAGACTCCAGAGACCTGATTGATGATAGGGAGTAGAGAAGAGTTCCTGGAGCACTGAACCTGAACTCTAGATCCAAATTATAGTTACCCTTGTTTGCTGAGTCTCTTTGGATATAACATGCCTCATTTCTTTGTCTTCGATTTAATTTCCATCTGCTTCATAAAAATGTTCTGAGAATTGAGGTAGATTCTAAATTACCTAGAGAGCATCTTAAGTAATGCAGATTCCTCCTGTTGGTTTGGGGTATGGCTCAGGAGTCTGTATTGCATGTAATTCTGATGCTGGTCCACGCTGGTGCCTGGACAAGAAACACAGATTTACAGAATGGCAAATTGGTAGTTTTCACCAAATATCTGCCTCAATCCTATCCTCACCACATGGATTACTATAGCAGTTTGTTTGTTTGTTTGTTTGTTTGTTTGTTTGTTTGTTTGTTTTTTAACTAAGGCCCAAATTCTTTGACACTCCTCCAATTGTGAGATGGGTTCTATGTTCCCCACCTTTCAATCTACTAGTTCTCTTGGGACACCCCAGATGCTTCCTCTCAAAATGCTCCCTCTCAGAACCTGACTGCCCTGATGTGAGAAGCCCAAGCCCCATGGAGAAGCCATCTTAACAGTCCAGCTGAGCTGAGCTTTGAGTCGTCTCAGCCCTGGCCCAGGCATGTAAGTGAAGGAGTCTGCATATAATACCAGCCCCCATCACTGACTTGCCCTGGCAAGTCTTCCTAGCTGAGCCCCAGACATCATAGAGCAGAGATAAGCCACCCCTGCCACGCCCTGTTCAAATTTCTGACCCACAAAAGCTATGCTAACAATAAAAAGACTGTTGTTTGATGCCACTTAGTTTTGGGGTGTTTTGCCATTCAGTAATTGGGATGGTTCCTAAAGTATTTTCTCAAGAAATAGCTATTAAAATGCAAACGCAGTACTTGGAAGGATAAGCTCTTTCAGATGAACACACGCAATCAGTGTATCCAACAGATAGCAAAGCAGGGAAAATGAGCCAAGAGATGCTCTCTTGTTTCACTGACATGACTGCATCACTGCATAAAGAGACACATAAGTTGCTTTCAGAAAACCGAAGGCAGGAAGATAGCCACACCTTGAAGACAGCATGTCTAAAAGGGAAAATACAGCATCAACAGGACAGATGAGGCAGAAGAGTAACGTCTAGCTTCACTTACTTCACAATTCCCCTTATGGTTGGCTCTAAAATCCCTCAACTCGCTCATTAACTGCAAAGTGGTTCATTTATGCCAGTTTCCCACACATACTTGCTTAGTTTTCAAAATTAGCTGGGATCATACAGTAATGAGTGCCAAGGGTAATTCTTACCACCAGGCAAGTTTGAGAAATGCTGAATTATAGAATTTTTAAAGTACATACAACACAGAATAGCAAATGTGGCACCCTTCCCTGAGAATTACAGCTCTGTAGTAAGAACAGACTTAATGTGAGAGCTTCGTGTTTGTAAAAAATGACTAGCATGTTCTAGCAGCCTTGAACCCAGAGAATGTAAATCCCAGCTAAGTCCAATGGCAACGACATGGAGGAAGAAGCTGTAAATATTGGAATTCACTTGCTAATCAGTACTACTAACTATATTAAACATTTTAAGTGTAATTATTTAAAAAATCATAATAAAAAATCGTGTAAAAATCATGTAAAATCTAAGACTATTCAGTGACTATTTTAATTGATAAAATATAAAATGAGATATTAGGTTAAATGTTCATGGTTTTATTCAAGCTATTATTCAATGCAAGCAAGACAAAACGATGGAGAGGATATATAATCTGGACTGTCTGGGACTGAGAAAAGAATAGGAAATGCTACACTACAATGTGAATTACTTCTACTTGAGTAACTAACACTAGTGTCTGTGTTGCTTCCAGCCTCACCACCTTCCTCATTATTTTCAGAGGTGACTTGATTACTAATGTAAATACTGGAGTTTTCTTTACAGGAAATATGTTGACAGCCTCCTAAAGGAAGCGTAGGGAGGTTGTTCAGAGTCAGGAATTCACTATATAACTCCCAAGCTCTGCATCATTAGGAGAAGATTTTCATAACACTGGTGTTGGCCCATATCAGTGAACAGCTTATTAATCCCCAAACCCTAGACCCCATAGAGACTGAGAGCAATTCAGGCCCCTTTAAACCCATTCAAATATATTTCTCTTATGTTGTGAGACACTTTAGTAGTTATATGTTGTAATTTCTGGAATAAAATTGATATCCATCTCAGATTCCAAGAGTTTGCATGTATTGCAATGAATAAAAGAAAATGTCTGTGAAGCTATTATCTGTATCGATGCATACTGGAATTCCAAGTGACAAAAATGGGGGGTCCTTTGTAACATATCAACTTAGAAACCAAATATTCCTCTTTCAGCCGGTGGCAGTATCTAAAGAACTGAGTCTGTATTCAACAGCAGAAGAGAACACACCCCTGTTAATCTCAGGCCTGCCTGACTTTCTAGCCAAGAAGTAGAAGGTTCTGGCTGCTCACTGCCTCTCTGAACTACTCTGTTCTGTCCTCCCTAGGGACGTCTCTTACACCAGTGTCACTGCCCTGCCATCCAAAGGCCTGGAGCACCTGAAGGAATTGATAGCAAGAAACACTTGGACTCTAAAGAAACTTCCACTTACCTTGAGTTTCCTTCACCTCACACGGGCTGACCTTTCTTATCCAAGCCACTGCTGTGCTTTTAAGAATCAGAAGAAAATCAGAGGGTAAATACAGGTGTCTGGAAAAAGCAACAAAAGGTTTCAGTGCAAGTTGAATTAATTTCTGGGTTTGGGAAAGGTCTGTGGTTTGAGAGCCAGGTAGAAAGAATGGAAGCATCCATGAGCATCATGAAATCCGTGGGACACAATGACTGCAGACTCAAAGTGACTGCAAATGTGAAATAAGACCAGTGTCACCGGATCACAGCAGGGAGGTGGGGGGGGTGGGGATCATATAGAATCTTGTAGAGATCATACTACATGATTCCTAGTCAACTGGCTTTGTACCCTAGCTCGGCCACTTTCTAGTTGTGTTATTCCAGCTTGCTTACTCAACCTCCCTGAGCCTCTGTGGAGACGGTAATGTTACTATTCACAGAGGGTTTGAGAAGAGTAAATGAGAAACTGAATAGAAAACAGCTATCACAATTACCTGGAATATTTTAAATTCTCAAAAAACATTAGCAATGGTATGTATTATTTTATTATCAGGCTGCTTACGAGCTGCAAAGGAGGAATGGCCTCTTCTCTCTGTGCTTTGTCTGAATCTTTTCTTCACTTACATTTTTACTCTGCATTATTTCCCCTCTTGTGTCCTAACACCACCTTCATTTATCATTTACTCACTTCTGCTCAGTTTCTATATAATATCTACCGGCTGACTTTCTGACTCATATTTGTAGTCAGAAATAAAATGGGATCTAGGGGCGCCTGGGTGGCTCATTTGGTTGAGCGTCTGACTTCGGCTCAGGTCATGATCTCACGGGTTCTTGAGTTCAAGTCTTGTGTCAGGCTCTGTGCTGACAGCTCAGAGACTGGAGCCTGCTTCAGATTCTGTGTGTGTGTGTGTGTGTGTGTGTGTGTGTGTGTGTTCCTCCCCTGCTCGTGCTCTCTCTCTCTCTCTCTCTCTCTCTCTCTCAAAAATAAATAAATATTTTTTTAAAAAGAAATAAAATGGGATCTAGTTGTGGGGGCAGAAGCAAAGGGGAAAGTTGAACAGCTGTGCAAAGAAGGCCAGTATGGCCTAATGCCTGCAGAAAGCCAGAAGTCAGGTATGGGGTGGTGAGAGCAGGCTTGATACTGAGGCTGTGTGGCCTCGGGGTAGGAAAGCACCAGGGATGGGTGGGAGGCTAGAGTGTACCTCAAGGGCAGGGTCCAGTTTTCTCGTTAACCTCTAAACAAGCTGCAATAGGCAGTCCTTTAGGCATTTTAACCAGAGCCCAATAGATGAATTAACATCTGCTTCTGCAGCTGAAACAAATTAAAGAATCCCTTTTGATGTCAGTATGGCAGGCTAGTGAAAAACTAAATCTCACTTCCATGAGCCTGCCTGCATGATCGTGTCCATTTATTCATTTGTTTGATAAGTATTTATTAAGCACCTAGCACGTGCTTGGCACTGTCCAATCCCATAGCAATGAATAGGTCGGGCAAAAGCCCTCCCGCATTTTGTTTTCAGTCTAGTGGGGGAAGTCAGAAAATAAACAAGCAAGTAAGAAGATATCAGATACTGCTACAAAGGAAATAAACACAAAGTAGGACAGTTTATTTAAGGAGATCAGGGAAGGCCTCACTGAGAAAGGAACATTTGAATTTAAAACTGAATAATGAGTAGAAGCAGCTATGCGTTTTTCGGGCAAAGGGAACATGGAGTTCAAAAGCTCTGAATAGTAATAATAATAACCAACACATACATGGCATATCAATGTTCCAGGTGCTCTTTGTAAGAGTTTTAAAAAATATACTCACCTGATCCTTTAACGACCCTACATGAAATAGATACTTCTTCTACTTTAAAAATGGGATAAGCCAGGGGCACCTGTGTGGCTCAGTCGATTAAGCGTCCAAGTTCAGCTCAGGTCATGACCTTGTGGTTTCTGAGTTCAAGCTCCACATCGGGCTCTGTGCTGACAGCTCAGAGCCTGGAGCCTACTTCAGATTCTGTGCCTCCCTCTCTCTCTCTGCCCCTCCCCTGCTCACGCTCTGTCTCTGTTTTTCAATAATAAATAAACGTTAAAAAAATTTTTTTTAATAAATAAATAAAAATGGGAAAAGCCAAGCTTCATAGGCCTGCCCAAGGTGAACAGCTAGTAAATGGTAGAACCAAATCCTAACCTAGGCAGACTGACTCTACCATCCATGCTTTTTTACTCATTATTGTTCTTGAACTGGGTGCAGATGAGAAATAAGGGCCAATGTCACTGGAGTACAGCAGGGGAAGGGGTAGGGTGGGTAATAGGAAGTAATGTAGGAGAAACAAGCCTGACTAGATTATGTAGAATCTTGTCGACTCATGTAGATCACAGTAAGTATTCTGCATATTTTGCTAAGTCCTGGGGGGACCATTAGGGGTTTTCAGCAAGCAGTGACTTCTTTCTGTTGCCTTACAGAATCCTTGAGTCCTTCATGTGTAATGACAGCAGTATTCGGAACCTGCGTCAGAGAAAATCTGTGAATGCTTTGAATGGTCCCTTCGACCAGGAATATGAAGAGTATCTAGGTGACAGCCATGCTGGATACAAGGACAACTCTAAGTTCCAGGATACTCGCAGCAACTCTCATTATTATGTCTTCTTTGAAGAACAAGACGAGATCCTTGGTTTTGGCCAGGAGCTTAAAAACCCACAAGAAGAGACCCTACAGGCCTTCGATAGCCATTATGACTACACTGTTTGTGGAGGCAATGAAGACATGGTGTGTACTCCCAAGTCAGATGAGTTCAACCCCTGTGAAGACATAATGGGCTACAAGTTCCTGAGAATTGTGGTGTGGTTTGTTAGTCTGCTGGCTCTCCTGGGCAATGTCTTTGTCCTGATCATCCTCCTTACCAGCCACTACAAACTGACTGTCCCACGCTTTCTCATGTGCAACTTGGCCTTTGCAGATTTCTGCATGGGGATGTATCTGCTCCTCATTGCCTCTGTAGACCTCTACACTCATTCTGAGTACTACAACCATGCCATTGATTGGCAGACAGGCCCTGGATGCAATGCGGCTGGTTTCTTCACTGTCTTTGCCAGTGAATTGTCAGTGTATACACTGACAGTCATCACTCTGGAGCGCTGGTATGCCATTACCTTCGCCATGCGCCTGGACCGGAAGATGCGCCTCAGGCACGCATATGCCATCATGGCTGGGGGCTGGGTTTGCTGCTTCCTGCTGGCCCTGCTCCCTTTGGTGGGAATAAGCAGCTATGCCAAGGTCAGCATCTGCCTGCCCATGGACACTGAGACACCTCTTGCCCTGGCATATATTATCCTTGTTCTGTTGCTCAACATAGTCGCCTTTATCATTGTCTGCTCCTGTTACGTGAAGATCTACATCACAGTCCGAAATCCCCAGTACAACACCGGGGACAAAGACACCAAAATTGCGAAAAGGATGGCTGTGTTGATCTTCACTGACTTCATGTGCATGGCTCCAATCTCATTCTATGCTCTGTCAGCACTTATGAACAAGCCTCTCATCACTGTTACCAACTCCAAAATCTTGCTAGTTCTCTTCTATCCACTTAACTCCTGTGCCAATCCATTTCTCTATGCTATTTTCACAAAAACCTTCCAGAGGGATGTATTTATCCTGCTCAGCAAGTTTGGCATCTGTAAACGCCAGGCTCAGGCATACCGAGGCCAGAGGGTTTCTCCAAAGAATAGCACTGGTATTCAGGTCCAAAAGGTTACCCGGAACATGAGGCAAAGTCTCCCCAACATGCAGGATGACTATGAACTGCTTGAAAACTCCCATCTAACCCCAAATAAGCAGAGCCACATCTCAAAAGAGTATAATCAAACAGTTTTGTAAGCTGTCCCTACACTAGCCGCAGTGGTATGGGACTTATAAAAGGCTGGTTTCTTGAACATGTATTCCTAACCCATTACATACACAAGATGACTGACCTAACCCTTGTGCAGGTGATGTTTCATGGGGCAAAATTTCATCTCTGGAGAGAGGTAGCATTAACCTAATCATCTCCCAGAAGGAAGAGAAGCTACCAGCACGTCTGAATCCCAGGTGATATCAAAATAACTGACACTTTCTAGAAGACTTGCTTGATGCTAACTGCAGTGACAACATTGTGTAAGATGCTCAACAAATATCAACTGAACTAGGTCAACACTGAGCTTCTCACTTTTAGATAGCGTTTCATACTGAAGATTCAGCAAATGGCAAATGCTATTAACTTAGCTGGTGACCACAATATAAAATTAGCTTTATGTTGGCTTGGTCCATTTTCACATTCCCTGATACAACCAAAGAGAATGTGAATTCCTCAAAACTGAAAAGTCAAACAGGATACAGGAGCAGCTATTATGAGGTGAAGGAGGGGAAAGGCTTAGCTTTGTTTTTTCAGACTCTGAAACTACTAATCATCTCTTCACAAGAATCTACCTGATGTGACCCAACTGTTATGTGTTGCCCAGAAAAAAACTGGCAATTTCAGTTTTTATGTGGCTGAGCAAACTAAGAATTGTTCTTCTTGGCTAGTCCCATAGCATAAAAGACGTGAACTCTAGAAATATTTCTAAGCAGCAGCAAGTGGGAATTATGAGCAGAGCACACTAAATCACCCAGTGATTAACAAAGCAGGCTGGATGCGAGGTAACTGCTGGACCTTGTGCAAATCACTGGGCCACCTCTAAGTCTGTAGAAATGAAGGAGCCTAGGGCACCTTGTGACTCAGTTGGTTAAGCATCCAACATTTTGATCTCGGCTCAGGTCATGATCTCACAGTTCCTGAGTTCAATCCCCACACTGGGCTCTGCACTGACAACTCAGAGCCTGCTTGGAATTCTGTCTCTCCCTCTCTCTGCCCTTCCCCCCAATATGTGTGTGTGTGTGCGCGCGCACACGTGTGTGTATATGTGTGTGTATGTGCTCTCTCTCTCTCAAAATAAATATACTTAAAAAAAGAAAAAGAAAGAAATGAAGGAACTTGATGGCCTCTTCCAGTTTTAAATCTCTATGTGTATCCCTTTCCCTTAAAACATGTTTCCATGACAAAGGAAAAAGAAAAGCACTAAGAAAGTAGAATCTGTTTTTCCTATCTTGTAGGGCTGCCATCTATTTCTCTTTGGAGTCTAGAGGTACAACACAGGAAATTTCTTGGTTCATTTTTGGTTGTGATATCTGAACCAAATGTTCTATGGACTGACCCAATTGGGCTGGATCTGAATTACTCATCTAATTACTAGATCTACACAGCTACAATTATCAGGCCAAAACAGGTTAGTATTCATATTATAGAATAAAAGTTTTGCACATTTTGGTTATTTGGAGTTACTATGTCACTGTGCAGATTCAATTGAAAACATTTAACTTGTCTTCAGGGATTGGTTTCTTTACTTACCTGTTTCCAACCCATAATATAGTACTAAAGCTGTCAAGCACTCAGGTAAAGTGACACTAAAGCTATCAAGAGAAGTTTCTTCTTTCTGAAACTACTAGCTCTTTCCAGCCTGTTGATCATTGGACATAAAATCTGTTCCCCAACAGTGCTCCCTTACTTAAAATGGTTAGGATCTATCTTTATCTATAGATGTACTCTCCAGATTATCTGTCAAGACAGCCCCTTCATTACATCCCCAGCAGAGATGGCATTTGCTTCTCAGTGCTCATGAACCACACCAAGGAATTTGAAGCTTTTGTTGTTGTAAGTCTGTGGAGTGGGGTTAGTGGACCCAATGGGGCCCCAGAGATGGTCCCCCTGATTCACCTAGAATCTCCCCATAGCAATACCCATTTCCGATCATCACTGAGACCTCAGCATCTTAATAGAAATACTCTACACACTGAAATCATGACTTATCCACCAGTTCACTTGTAACTAATGAAACTAAACAGATGTGTGATGCTTGTGTTTCTCACCTGTAACATTTTGAAATCTCACATCCTGATAGTGAGTTTTATCTCGAGTAGTTGAGATAACATTTTGGAAACAGTCCTAGAAAAGAAACTTCAACACAGTTGTTACTAAAATTTTCATTCACAACATGAAATAAATTTTCTTCCTTTGAAATGATTGTGCTGGGGGCGCCTGGGTG